TCAGGTGATGCACGGATGGAATGTGGGTAGTTTGGGAAAAGCTAAACTACTTTCTAGTGGAGCAGGCTGGGGAGATTGCTTGATGAAGCCCTAGGCAGGTAACCTGTACCTCATCAACATGGATTTCACTTCCTCATGTGGTCTGTCCTTCCTTGTTGCTGATCCTTGGAAAATCTTCTTCCATGGGTTTCAGTAATTTGTGTGAATGAATAAAGATGAACTCTCACTCTTCAGATAATTGTAAACAGGACAGGTAAGTAAGTCTGCAACTTGAAAGCACTAAATTTATACTGTGTTTTAGAGTATTACCAATGTTCAGGGGTATATAAAAAAGTATAAAAATTCAAATGAAAGGTGAAGCCATTATGAATGCATTGTGCTGTGAGAGAGAATTCATGCTGCCTTGTTTGTTGTATTTACTTCCCATTGCAAAACCCATGGAGGTGCACCAATATGTATTGGTGTAGCTCCACCATAATGGCCATGCCTGGATTGAATTTGACCTAAAAATGCTCAAAATTACTGGTTTCATCTTGCATAAAGTTCTTAATACAAATCTCTGCCCATCTTCATTTGACTGCGCACGGCTCTGATCCATTCATGCAGTTTGCTCTCTGAGTTACTCTCCTCAGCTACACACAATTTGGGTAATTATTTAGTAGGGTTCCTCTGTGTAATTTCATGCATGACTGACATGCCCTGCAGTCATCCTTACGCTCCTTTGATGATGGAGGCTGTACAGAGAGCAGCCCTGTGGCAAAATCCTGGTTCCCATTGAGTTTCACCATTGGCTTCCGTGGGCCCAAAGTTTCACCCTAAGTGTATTAAATCTATGAACTGCTACGAGGGACCAAGAACTGAGATAAGTTTAATTGCCTTGGGTGTTAAGCTCAGTTGTGGTTTATTTTAAGCATGCAGGGGAGTGCTTCTTGAAGAGTGATTTGAAGAGACAGACTAAAAATGAGCACACCCCTGGGAATGGCTGAGGAAAGCCTTCTTGCAGAGCTCCAATCCAGTTCCAGGTTTAAATGGTTGTTATCTAATGAGCACAAGCAATTACTTGGCTAATGAGCACGACAAAATGAGCACGAGAAATGTGTTTCATCTGCAGTGGCCACTTGGAAGACACGATTTTGAGCTTGAGGCTGCCCTTGCTTTAAGACCTGGGTCACTGCAGTGAGATTAATCCAGGGCATAAATCACAGGGGTTAGATTAGTGTTTGTTTTACTTGAATACACATTTCTTGTTCTCTTATCTCCTCTAAATCTTGCAGCTTCTTAGCTCAGTCATGAACCAGGGAATGGAATGGGTTTAAACAGCCACAACTTCCCTCCTGAGCACTGCCTGTCAGCCCTCAGGCCTGATTTACCACTGGAACTCAGTTATAAAATGGCACAATGCAATTAGTGTGTCTTCCCTCCCCTTTCATGCCAGACAGGAATTCCTCCTTCACCTTCTTCAGCTGGAGTGATTTTTATAATATAATCTAAGCCAATGTGACTTTATTTGGCATTAGTCAGGGGTCTGCCAGACTTGGTGACATAAGGAGCTTATGATATATCCCAGTTAGGAATGGTTTTGTGTGTCTACTGCTATTCCTGTGCAAGTTCAGATTGTTTGTGGGCCTCTTTTGGTTTGGTTTTCTGGTTTTGTTTTCCCGCCTTTACAGCTGACAGTGACAGCCAGAACAACAAGGCAAACATAGAATGAGTTCCCTACATTTTTCCAACCATTTAGCAAAATCCATGTGAGCTCAAGGTATCCCCTCACTACCAAGGGAACTCACTGCCTTCCTGGTGTCAGTCTAGCTGATCATTTGCAGATACTTCAGAAACAACATCTGACATCTTCCAGAGCTCTGGCACTGCCTAGAAGTGTGAGTTTTGAGAGTAAGACCAGAAAGCCAAGGTCTTGGTTTGTAAGGAATCCTGTAAACACTGGAGCCACTGGACCTGCAGGGAATCCTACCTGTGGGGGATCGTCTGGTCAGGCATGCTCTGTGTAGCTGCTGTGTTTCACAGCATTTAACAAGGTGCTGGTATATAGCACATACTGATGAAAGCAGTGGGGAAGAACATTTCTGTGCATGGAAGGATAGGTTAAAATTACATGTGCAAGTTTTTGAGTTAACATTAGGACCAGTGTAACAACTTTGTACTTTTTTTTAACGTGCACGGTCAACCACTGCTAATTGTCTTTACGTTCTTCCTAATGTATTTCACTGAGGATTGAACGTTTTTTTGTTTATTCTTTATGGTTATATTTCATTATACTTAAGACTTTACTCATACAGTCTGTAGGAAATTAGAAATCTTAATGATTTTTTTATATTTTCAGGGAAAATTGTTGCCCTGTAGGTGAGACATAATAGAATTATGTGAACGAAAAGGAAATATTGGTTTCTTTACCCCCATGAAACTTCTCGGAGTCATGGCAATTGTCAAATTAAGTTGAAACTGTAGCTAAACACTAAAGCAAATTAGTAAAAGGCATATTCAGCCCCAAGAACACTTCTTTTTTTTTCTATGGTCTCACAATAACTTAGATGACTTTTGCTCCTTAATTTAATTACAGACTTCTTCCTAGGGCTTTGTGTTACTTTGCATGCCACAGGAAGTAAACTCAGGAGGTTTTACTTATGTGGAATACATGGAGTAAGGAAGAGCTGCCAGAAGTTACAACAGAGCCAAGACAAAGTGACAATACCTGTAGACTGCCCATGTTCATTTTCTCTGAGGTCCAGTGAGTTGTTGCCTTCACTCCTGGTGCTGAGCCCGAGGACAGATGAACAAGTGCTGCTCAGGTATCTCAGCTGAGGTTTTCTAAGAGATTTTCTTGCTGGCCTAACTCAGTCTTTGCTGAAACTCAGGGTGGTTTTCTCAGTGATTAAAATAGCACCTATTACACAATGCTGAAGGCTCTCAAAAAGCCTGTCCATCTGCCATAAACATGGACTAAAACCCTGAGTTTGCTGCCTTTGAGGGGAAACAGCTTTCCTTGTGAGAAAGGAAACATTTGGGATGCTGCTTCTTTCCCTCTGCTCCATATTTTTAGTTCTAGTTGTGTGTAAACACAGCCATGGCTCTCCAGTACCAGAAAACTCCTTCAGGTCCACAATGATTTGAGAGGATTTCTCTCCAGATGTGTGGCACTCCAGAGTTGTTTTAGTTGTTCTTTGCCTTCTGAAATGAAAAGACGTATCTGTGCTGGATCCTTGCTTAAATTCCTTTGCAACTCATTGGATTTTGCATTAAATTAAATTTCACATGCTGAGTGAGCAGCCAACCCTTATGAGCCTGGAGGAAAGGATATGCTGTTTCTGTGCATTTTAACGTGACGGTCAAGTCGGGGCTAACGCTGCCAGGCACCTCCTTCAGTGTTCACCTTTCAGCCTTTCCATCTTAAAGCCTCTATTTTTTAAATGAGATGCCTGCATTTTATTACTGCTGCAAGTGGAAAACAACAGCATATGTTCTCTACCCTCTAGAAAAGGCTTGGATTGTTTTGGTTTGAACTTTAAAATAAAGGTCACTCTTGAGGCAGGCACGAATTCTTGCATGTGTCAGCCCAAAAGGTGAATGCTTTAGGAAGTTGTGAGCAACCACAAATGAGGCAGTTTCAAATTGCACTTGAAACTGGAACAGCTGTTGTTCGGAGCGTGACATTCAGAGTTATAATGCTAAAGATTCTGTATATTACACTCAGGGAGAAATCAAAAATAGAAATCAGTCACTGAAGCAGAGAGAAAATTGATTTGGGTGGCACATGGCAGGGCAGGAACAGCCTTTATGTTAATGGCACAGGGAGGAGATTGTGGGAAAGCCCAGATATCAAGGTGGATGTAAGAAAAGTGAACAGGGAGAAGACAAAAGAGACCAGGGGAGTCTAGGGGAATTTCTGAGGAAGGATTTTGCAGTGCCTCCTTGAAAGTGAAAATTAATTGATTTGGGACTGGAATTCACAGCTCTGTATTGCAGGGACTTAACAAGGCTGGTGGATTACCCCTCTCTGTGGTCTCAAAATGCTCTGACAGGTTCATGTGTGTCAGGCAAACATTATGGTAATTTTAGCGCTTTAGGGGCTCTGCAGGAGTACGTAAATACCACCTAAGCTATCCAGCTGAATTTAAACTTAATTACTGACCCACTTAATAATATTCTCTCCCACCACCACTGCTTTACAGGATCATAGGGTTAAAAGAAATCATTAATCTTCCTTAATGAAGCTATTTTCTAGCAGGAGACAGAATGTCTTGCCCCTGTGGATTCTGAGATGGAGTTTTTGTGAATGTTATGAATGGGGAAGTGGGGAGAGAGCGCTAGAGGAAAAGCAGTGCAGAAAAGGGAAAGGACCCAAAATGTCAGTGGTGGGAGGACCCTCTGACTTGCAGGCCCTTGCTGAGTTTATCTAAAAGGGACATGATAGTCATGGGGGAAGAGGAGTGAACCCTATTAAAAACTGACTAAGCTGGCTGTATAACAGTGTTCCCATCACAACTACTAATTATTGGAATATCACAATTTTTATATATATTTATATCAGCTTTTACGTAACTGAGACAAGAGCTCTCTTGAAATCGTGCATTTACAGAGAAATCTAAAGCAGAATGGTGATGGCAGAGTTTGGGTCTCTGCTTTTAACTGTCAAGGTGGATCCATGTCCTCAAAGCTGCTTTTCTTGGGATTGTATTGTCTTATACATGATTAAATTGCATGCAAATGTTTCAAAATCTCTGTGACCATCCAAGTGCACATCCCTCCTTTTGCATCCACGCAGGGAAAAGAAAACCTGTTCCTTAGAACAGTGCAAGGTTTAGTCCTCTCCTAGTCCATGGCTCCCATGGTAAACACTGCTCTGAGCACCATCATCTGCCTTGTGCCAGGGCTGGGTGAGGAGGCTGAGATGGCTTTGGCCTTCTCCAGCTTGTTTGACCATCCCTTTGATGGAGATACTGAAATGCTTTTGTTTCTCTGTTTCTTGTGTGTGTCCCCGGCTGCAGAAGATGCTGGATGAGTGCCAGGACAGGCGGAGCTGCCAGTTCCTCGTCAATAGCCGGCTCTTCGGGACAGATCCATGCCCTGGAACCGGCAAGTACCTCATTGTGTGGTACAAGTGCAGGCCAAGTAAGTATCTCAGTATCGAATCTGTTTGCTCTGTTGAGACCAAAGCATTTCCATACTTAGTACTCACCAGAGAGGCCTTCTAGGACTTTTCATTCCATTCCACCTTTATTTTCAGTGTAACATAACCCCGCAGTGCAGAGTGTTTCCCCTTTCCCCCTCACTTGCTGCCTTTCTGGGATGCTGCTGCTCCATGTCCTTCCTCCTTGCCAGCAGCCTGAGTTGCAGATTGTTTTTGCAGGTGCCAGTGAAGGCCTTTGCCAACGCTGAGCTCATGCTGTCAGCGGTGGGTTGGCTACTCCCACTTCTCACTTCCATCTGCAGCCAGGGGGGTAGTGGGGCTTGTCCCCTCTCTGTCAGTCTCTCCAGAGGCAGTGGGAGCTCCTCTCATGGCAAAGACTCCCTTCAGGCCTGGGAGCCTAAGGCAGGCACTGGTGATGATGGTGTGACAGGAAGCTCACCTGCCCGTGCTGTGCCATAATCCAGCTTTTAATTGCTCCCAGACTAGGCTGGGAAATGTTAACCTGTGTCTCGAGTGATGTCATTAGCTGTGTTTAAATTCAATGGGGCTGGTGCCTGGATACTGAGAGTGCAGTCATGAATCCTGGGAGTGAGCCATGTGCAGCTTTGGCTCAGGACAACCAACACCCTCTTGGCCAACTCCTGGCCCCAGCAGGGAAGTTAGCACAGCCTAGACACCATTCTCCGTCAGTGCTTTGGAAGCAGACACATTAGTTTGGAGATGGATCAGGTTTGATGGAAGACAAATTGTGCCATCTGATGTCAGCTGGAGAATGGGACCAGTTTCTATCTGAGCACAAGTTTTAAAAGCAGCATCTGAGGCAGCTGGGGGTGTTTAGCCTGGAGAAGAGGAAGCTCGGGGGGAACCTTATCACCTCTATAACTACCTGAAAGGAGGTTGTAGTGAGGTGGAGCTCAATCTCTTCTTCCAAGTAATAAGCAACAGGAAAAGAGGAAATGGCCTCAAATTGTGTGAGGGGAGGTTTAACTTGGAAAAATTTCTTCACTGAATGGTAGTCAACCATTGGAACGAATTGGCTGCTCTATTCCACCCTTCCTAGGGAAGCGGTGGAATTACTGTCCTTGGTCTTGTTCAAAAAAGGTGTAGATTTGATGCTTGGAGACATGGTTTAGTGGTGGACTTGGCAGTACTGGGTTAATGGATGGACCTTTCCAAACTTTATGATTCTATGATTCTATGAACTAAAGTCTGGACAAGGCATTTCAGATCAGCCTAATTGTAAACTTTTTAGATGTCATAACTAATATGGTTCCAGCATCACATCAGCAAAAATTTTGGGGAAGAAACAAGAAAGAAAAGTTTGAACAGGGAAGAAAAACAGATCTGACTTCAGAAAAGATTTGAAACAAAATGAGAAACAATCAGACTCTGTCAGCAACTGCACAGAAGAACACTTTTTGCCCCAGCAGGCAGAGACCTGTACTAATACAGTGAAAGGATCTGGCAAGATCTGTGAGGAATTCAAATCAAAAGTAGGTAATGAAGCACCTGCATGTGTTGTGGGATTTTTTTTTGTGAGTGATTGTAACACCCCTTGTTGGGTGAGAAATGCACCTCCACGAGAGGGGCAATTAACAGGGTGTTCTGGCAAGTCCTCCTTAACCTGCAGGTTTTGCATCAGAGCTCGCTTGAAAAATCTGACTACTGAGGGCTGTGCTGAACTTCTGAAGGTATTTCAGGACCCATCTGTGCATACATATTTATGTCTTGGCATTCTTTGCTAATTACAGGCATACTAGAAAAGAAGGAGTTTGTGTGTGTGCAGGGTAGGTGATTTTCCTGAAAGAGAGCAGGGGAAGCTGCTTGAAAACATCTCCCCAAGACATTTTTCAGGCAGCTCCAATTTTGCAGGGTGAAACAGGGTAACCTGACAGAAATTATTTTCTCTTAGTGACTGGGCAAACTTTTAATCAGAACCCACTGGTTTAATAACAATGTTTGAAGTAAGTGAGGATTTGCTTTGCACAAAGATACCAGGACATGGTCTGCCTTTCCTTGATGATTCAAAATGTTAATTTTAAGTCTCACAAACAGAATCTAGTGCTTTTGGGAGTTCAAGCCTTTCCATCTTTCTATAGGGAGAAGGTTAATGAGGGGACAGAGGAATGATGGATCCATACAATGCAAAATACAGGATCATGAGAATTTTTTATGGGCTTTCTGGGTTATTGACTATTTCAGTATGGCTTGTGAGCTTTAAATGAATATATGCTTAAGAGCTGATGCCCAAAACTGTGGTCATATGAAGTGCTGACCTGCTCCATAAAGTCTGAGCTCACACAATTGTAACCAAACAGCACCAGAGAGTCCTTGTTGAGAACTCACTGCCTGGCACAGGTTTTAATCCAGAAGTTTATCAGATGACAAATGCAGCATCTCGAATTCTGTTTCTGAATTTGTCCTTCTTAACAACAGCCATGACAGAAGTACTTTAATAGGAAGCTACTTAAGGTCTGCATTGTCCTCTTGGGATATCCATTTCTATTGCTTATTGAGGAAGCCTGTTGTGACCACATTACTGAAATACTGTTTTAGTTAAGCATCTGTCTAGGTAGAATGAATGTGGTTTTTTGCATACAGGTACTAGAAGTGCTTTGGGAAGTAGCCTACAGAGTTTGGACAGGACACCTTTAACATAAAATAAGGATATCCAGGCCCTCCCACCACCAGTCATGCTGGAGCCTCAAAAGGCCCCTGAACAGAGCTAGTTATCTAGAAAGAAAGACTTCCTTGAAAGAAAACAAAAGTGAAGTTAGTGGCATTTACTTGTACCTTTGCTGAAGAATAACGAGATGGTGCAGTCATCCCCTCCAGCCACTGTCACTGCAGTTATGTCTCTCTGACATTACACTGCATTTGAAATCTAGTGGTTTCGATGCTCACTGGCTGTGTGGGGTTCATGCACAAGGCAAGGTGCTATTTTGGTTTCTCATGGGCAGAATTTCAAGGAGATGGAGGACAGTAAATCATGCTGAAACTGAAAGACCCAGATTTTTCAAATGGTGGGGCTCTGGGGAGCAGGGCAATGGGGGATCTCTACTGCACTAACCCCTCTGAGACTGCTTTTGCTGGAAGCAGGGAAAACTCATGAGGAGGTGTTGTGGTTCACCTCTAGAAATGTCAGAAATAGTTAAGAGAAGTGTGTGCTTAACTAGAAACAGTGAGAAATTCAATACCTTTTGTGGTTTTTTGGAAGTCTTATGCTAATCACGGTCCCCTCTGATCCAATAGAAGGATCTGGGACCTATTGGACACTCATCTTACATGTACAGGGCTCAGATATGTGCATGGAACTGCTTTTAGATGCCAGGAGTTTGGCACTCCTGAGTGTTCTCTGTGCCTGTAAATAAATAAATAAATACACTATGTCTGTGTGTACTTTTAAGATATAGGATGTTTAAGGAGATCAGAAATTATCCATAAAATGCTCTATTCTGTCTCAGTTTGGGGCAAGTGAGATTTATTTATAGCTGCTATGTGATTTGAGGGTCAAGGTCCATTGAAAGCATATAGAGGCATAGATTTTATTTTTAGTTGACATGGTAGTCTTTGGCCTCAGGTTGGACCTGATGACCTTGGACTTTTCCAACCTTAATGGTTCTATGATTTATTTTATTTTATTTTTTCTATATCATGTATAGCTTTAGTTTCTCATATGCACCAACCTTTGGGAATATGCTCAAGGGCACAGTACAGGTCTCAGCAGAGCACAGCTACGGCTTGTGGTTCTAAACTTGGAGGTGTCTCTGCAAACCATCCTGCTGCTGACAGACTGAGCAGTGAACCCCCAGGAGGATTCCCCCAGGTCAAGGTGAGGATGTGTTGATGTAGCACTCAAACATGAAGTTATTCTCTGCTGGTGTAGATGTATTCTACACTGCATTTGGCACTGTCAGGAGCAGTTTCCAGTGGGAAGTCTGGATGTGGCCACCCTGTTTTAGAGGCTAAAAAACTGGTGAGAATGGTGGTGGGCTGTCCCATGCCACTGGGCCTCAGTGCCAGGGAACAGGCACATTTAATTTATCAGGGCCAGTGTAGCCTGAGACCCTCACCCAAAGAACACTGAAGCCCAGGATCAAGCCCTGAACACACAGAGGATTTAAGTCTCTAGGGTATCTTTCAGAATCATTAAAAAATTTCACATAAATCCAATTATTTCTCAGGTAACATGCTGATTTGATTTAGACCCATTAAGTGTAATTACTGGGTAGGCTACAGAACCAGATAATTAGAGTGAATTGACATACTATTTAATTGGTCTAACATGAATTCCCTCTAACTGAAATCTGTATTCACCAATATTATTCAAACAATTCAGTGTTTTTTCATCCCCCTCACTTCAGAGACAGAGAACTGTGTAAGATTGTGTGTTATTGTAAGCTAGGAAATATTTGCTCTCTGTGCCAGACTTTCTGGAGGGGCTGTGTGATCTAATCCTGGCTGGGAACAGGATCTGTGGGGCTGCCCAAGTCATGCTGAAGAAATAACTTTCACCTCTCTGCATCCCAGCAATACCATTGCAGCTGGTTTTACTGGGGCTGGTTGGGGCTCTGGGCTATTGGACCAGCAGGGATCCATCTGCCCCTGCACAGCAGTTCCTTACTTGTAGTGGCTTTTTGGTTGTTTGGTTATTTTTTTTGGCTTTGCTGTTTCAAAAGTGCCGATACCCCTGAATAAAATGGGACCATAAGTGTTTGTCCTTCTCCACAAAGGGAATACTTAGGATGAGATGTGTTGTCTGTGTGGCCATTTGCTGGCAAAGCTGTTGAGAGGAGAAGGCTCCTACTCTATTTATTTGGTTTATTCCATGAGTCTCTCACATAGTGCCCTTCTCTTGTCTTCTCCTTTGCCATTGCCGTACTGTCCTGCTGTTCTGGATGCACTGTCCCCTTCTTGGCTCTGAAGAACCTGAGCTGTAGCTTCCTATAATTCTATAGTGAAATTTTCCTTTTTTTCTGTT